TACCTGCAAGTGGATTTGGGGCTCCCACTGTCCTCCATAGCCTTCTGTAAATTTGCGTGTTCACATGTAAGCTCTGATACTTTACCCTTCGTGATACTTGTTTTTTGGGTGTTTTTTTTAAATGGATTTATTGACATAATTTACATACCATACAATTTAATTGATTAAGTATATTAAAAAGGAGTTGTACATTCATCACAATTCTTTTAAATTCTGAATCCTTTACTTAAGGCTATATCTGAGCACTTTGTATAATTGGTATTTATTATTTTGATATAAAAATCACTAGCCATTGTTGACACATCTTACTCTTCATTTAAGATCATATTTTACGTCACTGTTGTATAAGCATTTTTTAAATTTTACATACACCATTTCAACATTTTTGACATGTACAATTCAGTGACAGTCATATTCATCTTGTGGTTTATATATATTCATATATTTCTGCTGTCCTTTACTGAAGGAAGTTCAGGGTCCCCACTGTAAGGAACCCTCCTCCTTGCCTCCTGTTGTCCACTGGCAACCACCTCATTCAAGTGGGATCATCCAATACTTAGCCGGTTTTATTTCACAGTACGGTTCATCAGGGTTGTAGCGTGTATCAGGGCTTCATTTCTTTTTTTTTAATCAGTTTATTGGGGGTTCATACAACTCTTATCACAATCCCTAGGACTTCATTTCTCTTTATGAGTGCTCTAAGTTCATGTACCAAGTATAGATACACCACATTGTGCTGACGCTGTTGTGAGCAATGCTGCACTGACCAGTGGCGTATGAGTTCCACCTCAGAGTGCCATTGCTAGATTAAATTGTCATTGTGTAGTACACTTTTGAGGAGTCCCCAAACTATTTCCCACAGTGGCTGTACTGTTTACACTCCTACTAGTAATGGAGGAGCATTTCCATTTCTCCACAGCCACGTCAACGCTGTTACTCACGATTGCTTTGTTTTTCATTCTAGCTATCATAGTGGGTGTGAAATGATAGCTCATTATGGTTTTGATTGCGCTTTTCTGATGACTGGTGCAGAGTCTGATGATGCGCTCAGTAAGCAATGGACTGCTAACCGCAAGAGTGGCTGTCCAGACCCACGAGCCCCTCCGTGGGAGAAGGACCAGGCAGAGTGTTTGGTTTGGGTTTAATGCTGAGTAGTGTTGAGTAGCTCCATCTGTTTGTTGACCGGTTGCTTTTCTTCTTTGATATCTATCCATCACCTTTTTTCTTTTTTTCCTTTTTCCCCCCCGTACTTTTATTGGGGGCTCTTGCGTCTCTTATCACAATCCATACATTAATCCAGTGTGTCAAGCACATTTGCACATATGCTGCCATCATCATTTTCAAAGCATTCTGTCCCCACTTGAGCCCCTGAGATGTCAGCTCCCCATTTCTTCCCACTCCCTTCCCAGCCCGCCCTCCCTCACAAACCCCTGATAAGTTACAGATTATTGTTTTCATATCTTACATCGTCCTCTGTTGCTCCTCACCCACTTTTCCATTATTTGTCCCCCTGGGAGGGGATTCTAGGTTGATCCTTGTGATTGATTCCCCCTTTCTCCCCCTCCCCTCCCCTGATCCTCCTGGTATCTCTACTCTCATTGTCGGCCCTGAGGGGTTTCTCTACCCCGGATTCCCTGTGTTGCTGGCTCTTATCTGTCGCAGTGTGCATGTTCTGGTCTAATCCGATTTGTAAGGCAGAATTGAGGTCATGATAGTGGGGAGAAGGATGCACCAAAGAGCTAGAGGAAAATTGTGTGTTTCATCGGTGCTATACTGCACCCTGACTGGCTCATCTCTTCCCTGTGACCCCTCTGTGAGGGGATATCCAATTGTCTACAGATGGGCATTGGGTCTCCACTCCATGCCGCTCCCCTAGTCACGTTGGGAATGATTTTATTCTGGGTCTTAGAGCCTGATACCTGATCCCATCGACACCTCATGATCCCTGATGTGCTTCTTCCACGTGGGCTTTGTTGCTTCTCAGCCTGTTTATCTTCAAACCTTTAAGACCCCAAATGCTGTCTCTCTTCTTTTTCTTTTTAGTCATTTTATGGAGGGCGCGTCCAACTCTTATCACGATCCATACGTACATCCATTGTGTCAAGCACATCTGTACGTTTGTTGCCATCATCATTCTCAAAATATTTGCTTTCTACTTGAGCCCTTAATATCAGCTCCTCATTTTTCCCCCTCCCTCCCCACTCCCCCTTCCCCGACAAAAATGGAAAAGCCTATAAATAGTTCAAGGTCTGTTGGTCTTTGCGAGTGTTTTCTGGTTAAGTCTGATACAGTGCCACCCTCTGCCTACAAAGTCCATTGTTATTCTCCACGGATTTCATCATTTTTCTCGCCTTGCTGCTCCGTTGCATGCCCCTAGTGTTTGTGCACTATTCCCGCACTGTGCCCCCAGTGTTGTCCCCGCAGCGCTCAGTTTCAGTGAGGGATGTCCTGTCTCCTGGTGGGGCCGGCCCCTGTGGTCATCAAGTTGGTTCCAGCTCATAGCAACAGAACAGAAGCTTAACAGAGCCGAGCACTGCGTGTCCTGTGCCATCCTACCAAGGGTGTTATATTTAATTAAACCCATCATTGCCGCCACTGTGTCCACCCGTCACCTTGAGGACGCTCTTTTTTTTTTTTCCTGTGAACAAGCATGATGTCCTTTTCCAGGGATTTGTTTTTCCAGAGGAAAATGTGTGTTAGAAAATGTGGTGCTCTGCAGTTAGTCTACTCAGGCTCTCATTCAAATCTCCCCTGGGTCCTGTGAGGAAGATGCTCATACTCTAAAAGGTGATGTAACCTCCCTACGAGGTCTTCCTACATGTTCATCTGATGGTGACTGGATTGTCAGCAGAGTTTTAGCCAGTTGGGCTCATTTTCGTGAAAGCAAATGTAACAATACTACATGGAACAGTGGCTTCTAGTGAGGCGTGGTTACTTAATCTTGGAGGTACACTATTGCCAAGAATGTCTAGAATGGTCACAGAGTGAGATTTCAGCCAGCCCGTGAATTGTAAGATTGTAGTTCTCCTCAAACTGATCTGCTAGACTCATTGAGTTCCCATGAAAAGCCAGCAAGTTTTCTGAAAGTCTCCCAGCTTCTTCCCCTCTCTTTTAGCGGGGCCCAGTCAGAGCAGACGCCTGTCATTCCCGAGCCACCAGTCAGCGTGAGCCCTGAGCAGACTCTTGCCCTTTCTGAGTCTCATTCTCCGCAGGAAACACGGGAGTCACTGTCCCTTTTCTTCACTGATCAGCCTTTGAGTGTCGGGAATGTTGTGCTGTGCAGTACAAAGCAGCGATACCTAATTACAGCTGTATTACGTTCCTTACAGGTTTTTGAACTATTTTGCCTATGAATGTTTGATAATTGATCCATATGAACATTCTGTTACGGTGAAGAGCAAAACAAAGGTCCCCTGATCATTCTTACTTAGGTTTGTCTACAGGTACTAGCCAGTGCCTTTAGAAGTAGGAAACAGCAAAGGGGATTTATAATAATCCAAACCCACCTCCATCGTGGTGATTCTGACATGGGATTTCCAAGGCTATAAAAGTTTACAAGAGCAGAGAGCCTTATCTCTTTCCCTTGGAGTGACGGGTGGATTTGAACCCCTGATCTTGCGATTTGTAGCCATTCGAAGGCCTGCTGGACATGGTGAGTTTTCAGGAGATGAAATTCAGGAGAATCAAACAGGAAAGCATGGCAAACAAGAAAAACAAAGTGATCGAGTCTAAAAGTAATTTTTTGAATGAAGATTCAATAATAATAAAATGACGAATTACTGTGGAATAAATGTAACAAGAACTGTGCCAGATTTATGTGAAGAAAGATTTTAAATATTATCAATAAGGAAATGGGGGGGGGGGGCACGACATACCGTGGTCCTCCACTGGATGTCTCAATATGGTAAAATGTTCATCTCCCCAAAGTCAGCCTTTGACACAGCCCCAGGAGGTAGACCAGTAGGCATTTTCTTGGGAACAGTTGCAACTAAGTAAACCTTATTTTTACGTTAAGGCAAAGAAAAGAAAACAAAAATCGGGGACATTCTGAAAAGCATGATAAGAATATAGAACCCTTAATTAAGAATGTTAAAATGGAAGGTTTTATTTCTTGACATAACTTCCACGTAGGTGTGCGCACTTCCGAAGTGATGTCTCCATCTCTTCCCTCCCCCAAGCACTCGGGGCTCAGCTTGAGCTCCACTTCCGTGATCTCTGAGTTTGGGAAATGAAAGCCGTCTGAAGAGGTCAGATCAGGGTGAATGTTGTCAGGTTTCCCAGCAGAGTGGTCATCAAATACCTGGGTAACTTGAGAGCAGGGTTGCCCATAGGGGGCACTCCCAGTGGAACGACTGAGGGTGAGGTAGAAACACTCTCTCTTGGATTGTGGAGCACAGCACAAAAGCTGCTGATTTCCAGGGGAGTGCTGAGTAAGTTTTTTTATTTGTAAAGGGGGTGGTGGGCGAAATAAATATGGGGCCAGTGCTGTAGCCCAGTGTACCCTCCACACACCTTTCTCACCACGGGCTTTCTTCTCACCTTCCTTCTTAAGGAGTCCTGTGGTCATCCACTGTCCTCTGAGGACATCTATCAAGTTGACCCCCTTGGGAGCCCCAGAACATATCTCCATTGCCTTCCGAGGACAGCTCTCAGCCTTGTATCTAACAATCCAGCTGACTCAGCAGATCTCTTCAGAAGGCTCTGCTTTGTTTAGGTTTTTCAGTTTTGTTGTTGTTGTTGGAAGACACACCCTAAGGAAACTACTAAGGGCTTTTCTGCAGTCCTCCAGCCGTTCCAGAGACCTGTTTTAAACATTGTGTTTGGAACGGCCTGTGCGTGTGTGGACTGGGACCTACTAGCAGTACTTCTGTACTTAGACGCCACGTCCCTTTCAGCAGTGTGTGAGGGTCATAGTTTCTCCACTTCCTTGGCAGCACTCATGATTGTCCACTTTTGTATCATAGTCATCCTGGTGGGGGAAATGGGTGTTCCTGTGGCTGTGGTGTTCCTCTCCCTGATGACCTTTCCTTGTGCATATTAGCCATTAGTGTATCTCCTTGGGAGAAATGTCTATTCAAATCTTTTCCCCACTTTACATTGGATTTTTGTTGAGTTGAGGAGACAAACTGGCCCCTGGAGAAGGATATCATGCTCCATAAAGTGGAGGGACATTCTGTACATATCGATGAGGTAGATCGACACCGTGACTGCAATGATGGGCTCACAGGTGACTGTGGATGGCGCAGTACCAGGTGGCGTTTCCTTAGTCCACAGGGTCACTGCTGAGTCCGAACAGTTCTCTCTTTGAGGCCCAGTGCTAAGTCCTTATCAGGGACACTCGTATGTGATGTGCAGATGTTTCTCCCCATTCTGCAGCATGTCTTGTCTCTTGTTGATAGTGTGCTGCAGGTAGATGTCATACCTGAGATAGGAATCCAACTTCATTCTTTTGCATTCCAATATTCAGTTGTCAAAATCACGCATCCATGAATGTTTGGGTTCATCTCTAAACTTTCAGCTCCATTCCTTGATCTGTATGCCTGCATACCCATTTAGAGCCTTAGAATTTTGAATGTTTAAACAGCTGTTAATTGGACATAGTTTACCCCTTTAATTTCTCTCCCATTCACTGTTTCAGGAAAGTGTGCTGTGTTATCATTCAAGGACTTCCTCTCCTGCAGGCCTACCGAGATCTCAGAAAATGACATCCTGCTCTGTGAGAGCCGCTACAATGAGAGCGACAAGCAGATGAAGAAGTTTAAAGGATTGAAGAGGTTCTCGCTCTCTGCTAAAGTGGTGGATGATGAAATTTATTACTTCAGGTAAAGTTAATAGATCTTCAACTAGAGCAATATATATTTCAAGTCGAAAATATTAATTCCATGGAAGAATCAAGGAAAATCTTCCTCCTCTCCTGAGATTTGGCAACGACCTTGGCAGGGCCCTAAGCTTAGAGTCCCCATTCATTGTAGAGCAGGGGTGGGGGTGCAGGACTGTGTCTGTCGTCTGTCTGTCTGTGTGTCCAGCTCCACGGACTGCACACTCTGCACTGTGTCTACGTGGCCGAATGCAGGCCTCGTTTCTCAGCATGACGCAGAGTGTATTGCTTTCTGACAGCCGCTTGTTCTGTCTGTCTTTCCTGTCTCTTCTTTAGGAAACCAATCGTCCCTCAGAAGGAGCCCTCGCCTCTATTGGAAAAGAAGATCCAATTGCTGGAAGCTAAATTCGCGGAGTTGGAAGGTGGAGATGATGATATTGAAGAGATGGGAGAAGAGGATAGTGAGGTCATTGAACCTCCTTCTCTCCCTCAACTTCAGACCCCTCTGGCCAGTGAGCTGGACCTCATGCCCTACACACCCCCACAGGTGAAGGTGACAAGTTCCAGTTACTTGTCCTTGTCCCAGCTCTGGTTTGCAGCACACCCAGACCACAGTCCTGAGACTCCTGGTTCCCTACGTGGTGTGTGAGCTCAACCAAGGGTTCTGCTGGGAAGAACAGTGTCCTCTTCTTCCCTGAGGACTGGCTTTTGTCTTTGTTCTTTCCCCTCTGCCTTCTCAGTGCCATTAAATCTTTAAATAGAACGTCTTTCTTAGTTTCGCAGATAACTGTTTTTAATGCAAGTCTAATTAGAAGACTCTCCCTGCATTGAGTTAAAGAAAGACCATAGGAGTGACCTCGTCTGTTAGCCTCTAGCCTCCAAGCCCATCTCCTTGCCACCACTCCTCCTAGAGAAAGAAGCTCTTCTTTTGTTTGAGGTGATCCCAGATGTTTTTTCTCCCCCTCATTCGGAATTTTTTCTCAAGACTTCATTGTGAAGTCATTACAGCTTGCGGTCATGGGACCCAGTGAATGGTGATTTCTTGTTTGTGTGGTAAGAGGTCAAGAAGAGGTATCTTTTGACCAAGAAAGAGATGGTGTAAAACTGAACATGCCTCGCAAACAGTCACTACTCACCACCTGTCCCTGGCTGCAGGGAGGCACATGTCGTTCTGATGTACTATAAGAGCTCTCTGTCTTACAGTCTACGCCAAAGTCTGCCAAGGGCAGTGGGAAGAAGGAAGGCTCCAAGCGGAAAATCAACATGAGTGGCTACATCTTGTTCAGCAGTGAGATGAGAGCTGTGATCAAGGCCCAGCACCCTGACTACTCTTTCGGGGAGCTCAGCAGACTGGTGGGGACAGAATGGAGAAACCTCGAGACCGCCAAGAAGGCAGAATATGAAGGTAGGTAGAGACTGTCAGAACTGGTGCGGCTTTCATGGGTGTTTTCAGGATGCACGTGCAGAGACAGACAGGTTTTTCTCTTGTGTTCTTTCTACTTGTACATGGACTTTGTGCTGGGGACTGTCCCCAAAGGGCTCTGTCCAGCAATTTAGATGCCAGCTTTGTCCTGACTGAGCAGAGTGCTGCCCCTGACTTGGCCTCTGATCCTCATGTGTTGTTACTTTGTTTTGTTTATTTTCGTTTCTTCTCCCCCTCCCCCCCAAAATTGCTCAAACAAAAATATCTCGCTATTGAAAACTGCATGATTTCTTTCTTTCACAGAAACCTGTAAGCACACACGTGTTGAGCTGGGGAATGACTTTAATTAAACTCTATCTGAAAAGAGGCCTGAAGTCACAGCCTCCTGTTGTGGTTCTTGATAAGCCACGTGTCCAAATTCTAGGCCCAGCATTGGCTAAAGCCTTAGGCTTCCTAGGCCAATCCTGGCCTGTGCTGTGGTCTCCTTCAGAGCTCCATTTAAGGCACTTGGGGTCTCACTTGCTGTTACTCTACAGTACAGTCATGTCGGGCCACGAACTATCATCCAGGGACTTGGCAGTGCTTCGTCACCAGGGGTCATGCTGAGATGTTTTTCTGTCTTCTTTTTTACACCACTAGCCTTGGTTTTCACAAAGAAATGGGTAATAAACTTTCGGAAATACTGTTGCCCTTGGGGTTATGTTTTTTCCATGTCAAATTTTACGTATTGGTTCATTTTGTAAATGTGTAGCCTGCCTTCCTGCATTGATCAGCTGTGATGCCATTTGGCTGTGTCCAAATCCATTATTTCCCAGGAAGCAGATTAATTGCTAAGACCGCCCCCTTTATTATTAAAGTTTTATGAAACTTTCAAAAACGCTTTAAGAATTTTTTAAAATTTACAAATGATTGATTATTATGAAATTATCTGACAGGTTTCCCTAAGGCTCTTCTGCAGAACTCTAATCCTACAAGATGCTCAGTCAAAAATAATTTTGTGGCAAAACTAGTTTGAGAAGCCCTTCAAACTTCTTGGAAACTTACAGTTCATATTCTTCCTATGTTAAAATCTCTAAGACCTACAGGAAAGAAACCTGTTTTGTATTACCTGACATTTTCTGAAACATGACCAGGTATTTATGTAATACCGATTAATATCCTGAAGAACTAATATTTTACAGAATATTCTTCAAGAAACTAAAGGCAGTTCCTTAAGAACCTGGAACTTTGGGGGATCCCTCGTCTGACTCCCCTCAGACCACAGCGTCACCCAGTTGGAAGAGTGTTGGGTGTGAAGCATGCCTAGGCTGACCGGCCAGTTCTGCGTGCTGGCTGCTTACTGGGGTGGAGACCAGAGAGAGGGGGCCCTGCTGGGAGAGAGAGAGGGAGAAGCAGTTGCTTCTGGAAAGTCTGCAGGTCAATGGGCCAGCGTGACCACGGAGACACAGAATAGGACCTTCTGGGGTGTGATTGATCGACCCGTTGCCTCGTCAGCACCCCCAAATTTGACTGCCTTATTGTAAAAATTCTGTTTTCCAGGACAGTTTTCTTCCCAGAGAAAGCCAACAGTTAATCCAACACCAACACTCATTCCATGAGCATGAGTTTTTCTGCTTTTTCCTGGGTGTGGGGCAGGGTGCTCTCCTCTGTCATTTGTGTAATGAACATCCTAGAGTTGATTGTGGGGGTCTAGGTCCTTTTTTGTTTTGTTTTTCACTGCTAGCTCATGGAAGTAGGTTGTCCCTCACACTGGTCGCGTGCAGAGGTCGGTAATGGGGGACCGAGGTAGCGAGGGGATGAGGCTGTGCAGCGGCTCGGTGGCATCCGAGGAAGCTTTGCCTTGCCTGACTTTCACATCCGTGCGTCCAAGGTGAATGAGCTGGTGCTTCTCGCTTTTCTCAGAGCCAGTCCCCACCGTAGGTCAGCCCTCACCATTTGAACTCCCTGTGGCAGGGTTCATGTGCTGGAGGGTGCTGTCAAGTCGGGCCGCAGGGTGCTGATGCTCTCTCTGTTCTCTCCCAGTGAGAAGTAGGGTTTCCTGTGTGTCAACTGGGAAGCAGAACAAGCCTCTCCGTGTAGGAGCATTGGGAATACACTGTCTCTAGACTTCTCTAGGAAGGGTCCAGCCCACGGGAGCCCAAAAGACTGAGAATGTGACGGTTTGGATGCTGGCTCTGGAGGTACAGAGGGAGTGAGCAGTGTAGCAGGGCATGTTCTACAGCTACAGAACTTGCACACGCAAGTGCTCCTCTTGCATTTTGGATGAAGTAAGAGTGGATTCTGGAATTTTTACTGATTGAGAAGGGTTTATGGTCAGCTTCAGGCAGCCTGGCTCTTTGAGTACATCATCCCGCTACGTGTGTGGGTCTATTAAGCATTGGCTTCATTAGCACCTAGACAGTAGCTGTGGTCTCGCCCTCAGATGTTGTGGAGAAGGCAATGAGCTACTCTTCCCTTACAGAGTTAATTTTCTTCAGCTGCTAAAATTTCATTACACTAATGACAAGAGTCCTCAAATCTTAGTAAAATTGGGGACAAAAGGAATCAGGAAATATAGTAAGTAACACTTGTGCCATACAATATAATGGGCCATGGAATTGCTTCATGTTGACGTTATCAATGATCTGTAATGCTGTTAATGCCAGAATAATGGTAGCGCTTCTCATCTTCAGGGTGCCCCGTGAGGCTGACCACGGCGGTTCCACTGGTGACGTGCTTAAATCAAACCTTGCTTTCTGAATGTGTGCTGCAGTCTTAACATCTTGAAATCTTTGCAGACCAGTTCTCAAGATGGGACTCTAGGTCACCAAAGAGACGGCCCGGCATCTACTGGTCCTTCCCTTGAGACAGAACTGCTGCCTGTGTTTCACTAGTCCTGTTGAATGCAATGGATGGTGTTTTGAATTCCTGGGTTAAAAACAGAATTGAAAATCTGAAATGCCTTTACAGAGCGGGCAGCTAAAGTTGCTGAGCAGCAGGAGAGAGAGCGAGCAGCCCAGCAACCGCAGCCGAGTGCTTCTCCCCGAGCAGGCACCCCTGTGGGGGCTCTCATGGGGGTGGTGCCACCACCAACACCAATGGGGATGCTCAATCAGCAGTTGACACCTGTTGCAGGTAAAAACAGGAGCTAAGACCATTTTTTTTCCACTTTTAAGAAATTCCTTCATTTTTTTTTTCTCCAATGAGGAGTAGGCCACAGTGTCCAGCCTTTTCCCATGACAGATTCCAAGTTTGAAGTCACCCGTGCCTCCTGTATCGCTTTCCCATACAGACAGTGCCTCCCCTCCGCCCCAGCAGTGGTCCGACCCAGCCCTGGGGCAGGTAGGGAGCGCCTAGCTCTTCCCTGGCCGTGGGCCTGGCCTGGTGACGTTCTCTGCCCCAGCCTGCTCTTGAGAGAGACCTCAGTAACAGACAGTAGTGTCTGTGGGCTCCGCGCTCTGTGCTGGGGGAGCTCCCAAGAGGAAACGCAAAACCAGCTTCCGGTGCTGCTGGTCTTCCTGTCTCCTTATTCTCAGTGTCCAGTTTGCCTTGTTCTGCTGCAGCCGCCCTTACAAGACTGACCGCTGAAAAGGGGTTTTGGCAATGGATCATAAACCCTTTCTGGTCCCCAGTGCACATGGCACAGGCCTTACCCAGTTCATGTGCCCACTCTGTAATGCTTTTCTATTCGATTACATTAAACTGCATTTTCTGTTCGTATCCCAGTCACATATTTAAAAAACAGAAAGAAAGGAAATGATGAATGTGGTTTGCTTGTGTGTGTTGTCTCTGGTTTGGTCGCCATAGCACATTCGGCCCCGCTTGACCTTCCTGTCCTTAGTGACCTGTCTCTGATGAGAGCCCTGCAGACGCCTCCCTCCGCGGGGGCCCTCCTTGGCGATCTCTGCAAGCCAGGTGAGGTCCTCAAGAGCGAACAGACGGCCTCTTTCTTGAGCACTCTGAGAAAGACCAGCTTGTCGGGATGCTGGTTTTGATTTGGCTTTTTTTTTTTTTTTGTCTCAAGGAAGGATAGGGTAGCGAAGGATGGATAGCTTTTCTGTTGTCGCTCCTCTCTTGTGGTGGCAAGTTCTCCATCGCACTGTCGCTGATCCCGCAGTTGCACTCGCCCATGCACAGCTGAACCACGGTGCCCACTTCCTCCCGTGTGGCAGATGTGGATCTAACAAGTCTCATGGTTGCCTGCTCTATTCCATGGCCCATTTTGGTTAATGGGGTTCCAGTGGTTTTTAGGAATCAGGCCTTGAGCCTCGGGGACTTGGAAAGTTAGGGCTCCTTTGTTGGCATTGGGTATGTTCTATCTGATGTGTCACACTGTAGCACTGTGCCCTGAGTTTAAAAGCTCAGGGACGCGTTGATTGGTAAAATGAATCCAAACATTTAAAAACCAAAACACAGCAGCTGCAGCATTTTAGCTCCCTGTTAGGGAATAACAGCACAGAGCTCTGCTGGGTGAGAAGTGGGGCCATCTGCACAGAAAGCCCCTGCTCCTTTGTGAAGAGTCCAGCTTCTGAGGTCCCGAGGGTGAGGGAAGAGCCCGCAGTCGCCAGTGAGCAGTCTTTAGTCCAAGGCGGGAGCGGGGTGACCCAGAGGAGGCTGTTTCAAGGACTGCTGGCTGCTGAGGGCCCAGTTCTTAGCTTTGTTGCTGTCTGAGACCAGCTTTGCTTACAAGCATTGAAGCTCATTTGAACATGTGACTGGGATATAAATGCCAAAGTACAGTTTAATGAAGACCAGTGTCCTGCCTTCAGATGGGCTTTTGTCATTGAAAGCAAAGCCTTCGAGCAGTCTGGAATCACCACCTGCTGTGTCTTGAAAGGTGAAGTCTGCTGGTGAGGTTCAAAGACAGTGTAGTGCATTGAGATTCCTCTTGTCAAAGGTGATGGTTTCTGTTCCAGAGTTTGACTCTCCAAGCTCTCATGTGTAAAATGAGCCCCACAGTCGTCCTGTACAGAGTCATTACTGATGACCAGTGAAGCGGGCTGAATCCATCTAAAACTGTTTGGTAATTTCGTAGCGTCGAAAGGTTAAACTTTTAGAAATCTCTCTCAAATATTCCTTGGGAGAAAGTCAAAGAGTAAAATTGTCAGAGTCTGGAGATTTCTGCCATTTCCCGGGTCCCTTTACACAGAGTGTTTTATAAAACAGGAGCTTTGGTGGGGTCCCACTCAGTCCTTCCCTTCTTATGCAAGATGCTGTCGCCCAAGGGGCTTGATTACATTGCAGGTGGAACCCTTGTTTCTATTGCCATCTTCACAACCCAGAAAAGGCAGGTGGTTTTTCTCAATTTAATAAAAGGTCTCCTAGCTTTAAAAGTCTTCCCCCCAAAAAAACCTTCCTATAGGTGAGTCGTGGTTTTCTGAAAGTATTTCTTACCTAGACTCCTTTGTGCTAGAACTCTTTGTTTTCCTGAAATTCTTCCCTAGCCAGCACAAAATATCGTTTATTGTGCTGAAAATAAGGAATAAAAGTCTCTGTTCACAGAAATGCAGTGCCTCAATTAAAATGCTCCTGTTAACGAGAGGCTTATGTGATGGGCTCTGTGAGCTTGGAGACAGTGTTGACCCTTGGCCCCTTCTCATGTCAGCCAAAGCCTGGCTCCCCGGCTGTTGCTCAGTGACCTCAGCTTTGGTTGGCTGGAAAGGATTTCGACTGTATCTCTTTAGTCTGTCACCTTGTGGGAATGGAAACAGCATTTGTTGTGGTGGCTCTTAGCAGCTATTCCCCAGCTCAAGGCCGAGCATGACCCCGTCCTACCAACTGAGGTGGGCTAGGAGAGAGAGGAGTGGACGTGCAAGTCTCGGGACACTCTTGCCCCCAAGCTGGAGAAGCATGCTTTGTGATCAGCACTACATGCCTTAACCCCTCTCCCCCATGTGTACCCATGACAGGCAGATGAGTGTGGCAGAGTGGAATGATGGGTTTCTACTGTTCAATCAGGACCGCAGTCAGCAGAACTGGTCACTTGTTTGCACAGCTGGCAATAATTACCACCTTGGGAAGGCTGTTGCAGGAACTCCTCTTTATTATTAAACTGGAAACAAGCAGCATATGTATCCCAGGAAAAATAACTACTCGCAATAATCTACTAAGTACTAATTCATCCAGAAATGATGTGATTTCATATTTGTAACTTTATTTTGTTCATTATTTGCAACAACATAATTGCACTAATTGTTGTTGTATCATGCAGTACTAAGGGTGCTTTATTCATTGATAGTGCATGTGGGGGTTTTGTTATGACTTAGCTCATGTTGCATGTTAATGATGCATGTCTGAAATTTGTTGTGTCCTTCAAGGCATGATGGGTGCCTATCCGCCAGGCCTTCCACCTTTGCAGGGCCCAGTTGATGGCCTTGTTAGCATGGGCAGCATGCAGCCACTTCACCCTGGGGGGCCTCCACCCCACCACCTTCCACCAGGTGTGCCTGGCCTCCCGGGCATCCCACCACCGGGTAAGAACTTCATCCTCATTCATTCACTCATTAATCTCATCCTCATGTTCTCTTCTTCCTCCTTCAGCCAGGTGCTCCAGAAGGCACCTGCTACCGTGTTGGCCAGGCCTTCACTGAAGAATCCTAGGGATGTCAGCAGCAGGGCCTACCCTGCTGGTTGACACCTATGCCCTTGGACACCTGGCTGCCACACAGCAGTATAGGACACCTGGCAGAGGCCAGACTCAGCAGACCAAGAGGCAGGCACCGTATTCCATAATTACTCATGAATTTGAAATGGGCTTGAAACACCACGGTCAGCCTCGAAGGCTATGCCCTGGTGCCAGTGAGTGAAAAGCCCCACGTTGCCTGTTCAGGGGCACTGTGTGCGGTTCTTCCTCTGGTGCAATTCTTATCTCACAGGGTCTCCTCAAGCAGCCTGCGAGGGGAGGGAGGTCTCCAGCTCTCCAGAAGCCCTTGGTCAGCGAGTCTTTCCCAGGGGAAGTAGGGGATGCAGTACACTGAACTAGTTCTGCATCTCTGAGCCCCGTAAAGGCATGATAGCACACTTCAAAGAATAGCATAACCTGCCTACTAATTGGGGGCGTTCGCTGGTTCGTCAACAGAGAGAAGACACATGTAAGTGGAGTCCAAGAGTAGCTGCAGTGAGTTTTAACTTGGTATGAATTAGCAAGGGAAAAGTGTTTTGTTTTTCAATTTTTTTTTCCCGTGTGCTCCCACCCTGTTTTTCAATTTTTAAATGAAAGGGAAAATTACAAGTTTTCCTGTTAATCGTCCTTGACTCAGCTATAATTTGATGGATGGGAATGGCACTCTTCAGGGACTTGGCAGGGCTAGTGCTCCGGATGTCAGCTAAGAAGATTAGAGATGGAAGCTTGATCCATTTGCCTGCACCATTGCTAGAGGGGCAGGTCCCGAACACTGCCCCAGAGGCGGGCCCAGGAGGGACATGGCCTGCAGCTTCGGCTGGCTGCTCTGGGAGAGCTGCTAGGCTCCCTCATGGAGTGGCTGCTCTCAGGTAGCTGGTAGAATTGGCCTGTATGCTGTGCCCTCTCACTTGGGCACAGAGTGTCTCTCTGTCAGTAAGACCAGGTGTGAGTAGACCCTCTGAAGGGCCACCCAATACTCCATGGGAGCTTCACCAAGGCCAGCAGCCTCTTGGTATCAGCTATCTTCTGATGGCTCTGGGGACACAGCGACCTTCCTCCCCCTGGTTTTGTCTGTGGATGATCTTTGGAAGGAGCACGGCACACCTGGTCGTTGCCAGGAGACAGGAGAGGACCCTTGGTGCCTGTGCCTGGAGACAGCAGTCCCACAGTGTCCCTGCGCAGCTCAGAGGGCTCGGTGGGGCTGCTGGCACATCTGTGGGGCCGTGGGAAGCATTGGCAGTGGCAGCTTAGGGAGCCTGCTGTGTTGTGAGTATAAGTCAGGGGAGGGTCCTGGGGGGCAGGGGTTCTATTTCTGGAGCCGTAGTGTACCCCCACACCCTCTATGTTCAGTGACACGGAGTTATCAGAAGCCGCCTAGGCGCCTTTCTGGGGACTTGGGCTGCTGTTACAGTCTCTGTTTGTAAGCAGCAAGTTTGACCTGCCTGCCACTTTCCTCTCGTGCTTCCTGGAACGGGCTGTTAGCCGTTTTAGACCTTAGACTAGTGGGTCAGAGCTTCTGCTTGGTCAGAG